CACCCTGTTGCCCCAAGCCCACCCCCACCCCCTGGGCACCATGAACACCAACGTGTGCGTGGAGACGGGGCCCAACCCCGAGGCGCCGGGGCTGCCCAAGGAGAACCACCTGCCCGACGGCGCCCTCAACAGCCTTGTGGATTACAACTCGGAGATGGAGAGGTACCGCTCCTTCGCCACCTTCTACAAGACCAACGGCGGCGCCTTCCCGCAGGCGGCCAAGATCGCCCGCATCACCCCCCCGATCTTCCCCAGCGCCGCCGCCGCCGCCGCTGCCCGCATCGGCATGTCCCCCTTCGCCCGCCTCTTCTCTGCACGCCGCCAGCAGGAGCGGCGGCGGCGGCGGCGGCTTGCACCATCGGAACGAGTCCCAGCGGCTGGGCAAGCCTGGCTGCGCGCCAGCCGAGCAGCCCGCGTTGCAAATGGCAAATAATAATTTCCTCTCCACCTTAGCCCCTGAACACTGCAGACCTTTGGCTGGGGAATGCATGAACAAGCTCAAATGCGGCGCCGCCGAAGCAGAGATAATGAATCTCCCCGAGCGCGTGGGGACTTTTTCCGCTATCCCGGCTTTAGGGGGCATCTCATTACCTCCCGGGGTCATCGTCATGACAGCCCTGCACTCCCCCGCAGCAGCCTCGGCAGCCGTCACAGACAGCGCGTTTCAAATTGCCAATCTGGCAGACTGCCCGCAGAGCCATTCCTCCGCCTCGTCGTCCTCCTCCTCCCTGGGAGCCGCCGGAGGAGGAGGCGGGGGAGGGGGAGGAGGCGGCGGCGGCGGCGCTGGAGGAGGAGGAGGAGGCGGCGGTGGAGGCGGAGGGGCAGGCAACCCGGCCAAGAAGAAGCGGAAACGGTGCGGGGTCTGCGTGCCCTGCAAGAGGCTTATCAACTGTGGAGTCTGCAGCAGTTGCAGGAACCGCAAAACGGGACACCAGATCTGCAAATTTAGGAAATGTGAAGAGCTAAAGAAAAAACCTGGCACTTCGCTAGAGGTCAGAGGAGATGATTTCTTTCTTCCCAGCCTCCCGCCGTCCCTCGTGAACCCCCTTCCCCCGCCTCTGCAGTGCTTCTTGTCTAGTTTCAAGATGCAGCATCCCTTTTCTGAAGCCTCCTTCAGGTTGTGAGGGGGGGGGACACACGGGGGGAGCACCCACCTACCCCCCTTTTGGGGAAAAAAATCGGTTTGGGGGCCTCTCCCTCTTTATTGCACTTCCCTCCCCAGCCCCACAAAACAAAGCCACTGGTTTGGACCTGCCAGGAACCCAGGTCTGAAAGGGGAGGGGAGGGTGGCAAAGCCCCTGTGAGAAAAGGAATGCCTGGGGGAGGGGGAGGTCTAGGAGCAAAGGGGTGGAAAAAAGTACTTATTATTTGGAAATGAAAAGTCTGACGAAACCTTTAACACCAGAGAGAAGGATTTTTTTTTAAAAAAACCAAAAATATCGTGAAGATTTAAACAAAAAAAAATCACTTCTACACTTATAAATTACACTATAAATTGATCTGAACAAAGTCTGTATATTTTATCTGTTATTATAAAGAGTTCTGTCTTGGTGACATGTAAACTATTTTTTACTTATGTGAAACCAATGGTGAAGGGTGAATCTTTAAAAAAAACAAAACCTGAGATATTTTGAGTACACATGAGGCATTTTTTTTAAATTTCTAAATTAATGGTGGTCTTTATGAGGGATCTTCCCCCCCCTTTCCCTGTTGTGTAGATTTTTGTTTTGTTTGAATAGTAGGGCAGGATTCCCATTCCCCCAGCTGAACTTCTGATTGGATAATTGTCATAAGTTCAGAGCAAAGTTACAGCTAGTGAATTTAGGGTGACTTCTTAGGGGATGACTTGGTGGTATTTTGATGCAAGGAATGGGGGTGGGGAGTATCAGTGGTGGGAAGTGGAGGGGCTGGTGAAGGATGCAATGAAATGCTGTCCTTTTCCCACCACATTCTTACCAAATTACCCTTTATGGTATGTTTTACAACTGGGTTAAAAAAATACATCTATGCCTGAAATTATTATGTGTGATTGAAATGTATATACATTTATTTTTTAAATCTGTCCAGATTTGACAATGTATTGAGTATCACAGAGCTGTAAAAAACAACTTTTCAAAGTTTGGTTAGACATACAAACAACAGCCAAGAGAGGATCTTGTGGAAATTTCAGTTCGTGTATTTTAGTCTAGCAGACAGCAAGGGGGGGGGGGGGGGGGATGGACGTAAAGTGACTAATAGTAATATTTTTAGATGGAGCAAAACAAGAGGAAAGATTGTAATCATATTTAAATCCCTGTCATTATTAAAATTATAGTGTTGCTGGTTAGATGAACTTATCATACGAGACTGAAGGTGTGTTGGGGGGGCCACGGAGGGAGAGCTTCTTTGATACAGAAGAGAGCTCTTCTGTTAACTTGCTGGGAGATACAAAGTCACCTGAATTAGTAACATAGTGAGAATATCCACTGTGATAAGCTGAACTGATCTTATAAACCAATAACAATTTTATTGGTATCAATGTTACCACTAAGTTTAAGATTTTCCTTTAAAAGGGGGGGGGGAACCACATTTGGTTATATTTGTTTCCTTTCACCCAAGAAGGGTGAACTATCCTTTTGGAAAGTTTAATAACTCATTCTTACTATATTTCTCATAGCTGCTTATTTGTGCATATATTGATAACGTAAAAACATCACTGCTACAACCTCTATGGATTATATTTCAGATGGTAGAAATCAGTTGTATATAGATTTGCCTGTTATTTTTTTTGGTTGCGAATGCACTCCTGTTTATTTCATAGAACATTTCAAAGAATGTATATTGTGATTTTTACAATAAACAGTAAATGCTGGATTTGAACACTAAACCATAATTTAAAAAGATTATTATTTTCCCCCCCTCCTTTGCTGGCAATAAAGCATAGCCCGCAATCACACAACACTATGATAGTCTTAGACACTTTGGCTCCAAGCCAGCGAAACTAAGTTGTTATCAAGAGTGCAGTCTAAGCACACTTACTTGGAAGGTAGTCTAAAGAACAGTGGGACTTGCTTCTGGATAAACTTGGCCTGGATCCATCTGCGTGGTGCCTTGAAATCAGTGGACAAGATTGTTCGTTAATAACTCAAATCCCATTCCATTCAGTGGGACAAGCAGGCTGATCCTTTGGATGTTTACTCAGAAGCACTTCCCCCTCTTTTCATTGGAGCTTATTCCCAAGCAAGTGTTTCTGGGATTGCAGCCGTAGGCCACATGTTCTGAAATGGGGTGGGGGGAAAGGTCTGGGCAGCATCTGCAGAGGGCTCAGGGAAGGCAGTGAAGAGAAAGAGCACATGCTTTGCATGCAGGAAGTCCACTGGCATCTTCAGTGGAAGATCTCAGATAACATATTGGGAAATACCTTTTCCGCCTTATACCCTGGAGAGGTGCCACCGGTCAGAGTAAACAGGACTGAGCTAGAAGGCCCATTGGGCTGATTCTGTACAAGAGCAGTAGATAAGGGGTTTCAGTGGCTGGGGGGGGGAGTCTTACGTATAACCTTCCATCCACCAGTTGTCCTCACCCCCATCCTTCTTGGCATAATGAACAAAGCACTGGCTTGAGACCCCATATTTCTTTCTTAACATCTAGCTCTTCTCATGAGGACAGCTACCTTTGGATCGAAGCAAAGTTCTTTCCCATCAGGTTTGCAATCTATAATTTTATTAGCAAACTTTTTCTAAAGTTTGCAGCCCCATACTAAGCATGTTAGCTGAGAAGGAAGTCCTACTGAATCCTAGTGAACTTGCTTCCTAGTTAATATGCTTGGGATTGTAGCCTTAAAGTATGCCTGTAAAGTAGCTTCTGGGTAGTAGACCTGTTGGTCTGGTTATCAGTCTGTTTGATCAGTGAGTTAGTTATCTGGGGGGGGGGGGAAGATACTAAATTTCTTAATAAAGGGTTGGTGGCTGTTCGTGGGCACATTGGGTGAATTTCTTTTTGCCTGACAATGGATACTTTTAAAAATTGTCTAGGCTTGTCACAAGAGAAAACTGCATATTAAAATTGCTTAATGGCTGTTACTAGTAAAAGTGCATGGTTTTTATTAGTCAGAACCCACCTATCTTAACTTTCAGAACCCCCTATCTTAACTTTTTAGTGGCTTGTCTTCGATCTCATACCCACATACATAGACACAGAGTGTTATACCAGGATTAGCAGGGTTCCCTTTTTTTTAGGTTGTAGAACTATTGGGAGACATTCACAGCTGTGCATCACAGCCAGTCAAAAATTGTGTCAGGGCATAATATTCCTTACAAGCTCGTTACTGGCCAATCAGAAGAACATTCAAAATAGAATCACCTATTTTAGTTAGGGCTTCCCCTTGTTATTTCTTCATCTCCCTCCTCTGCCTTCTTTTTTTGTTTTTGTTTCATTGAATAATAAATAGTGACAGCATGGATGCCTAAAGCACATGTGTGCCAGACTAGGTCTGGTTGTAAGGCAACCAGCTGGAAGCATGTCAGAGGCTGACGGGGCCTACATGACTGAACTGAAGCCTCTGCGGTGGTTGCAGGCGGGTGAGAATAGTCTCCCTGATGAACAGGCTTCTCAGTTTTAGATTGGCTTGCGGTTTTTTTCAGTCAGTAACAAGCCCGGTGGTGATTCACTGCAGACAAGATAGGCCCCTGATGCAGCAAACGCTGGGCTTTCCTCTTGTGCTCCATATTTCAATAAGTTGTGAAAGCTGCTTTCCAGTTAAGGAAGAAGTGCGGCAGGCTTTGTCTGGGGGAAATGGTAATGCCTTGAATGGAAAGTAGACAGAGCGTTCCTTAGCCCCATCTTATTTGCATTAGTGGAACTGAATAATGTTATAAATTCCACAACGGGCCCAATCCAGAAATTCTGTTTACGAGCAGGGACTCAAAGGACTGCTTACTCAACAGACGGCAGATATTTTGCTCACATAATCCTATTGCATGCATGAGATGTTCCCTAGCTTGGAAGGACAGATCCCCTGGCTCCTGTGGAGATTTTGTTGGGCATTGGATTGTTGTAATGGAGTTCAAGACTGGTTCCTCTTTATGCCAGCATGGTTGCCTGATATACTGGAACAGAGTTACGGTGACACTGCACTTTGGTAGACCATTGCTAAATGTTTATATGCAGGTGATGCTAAGCTTAGGCATTTAGCCAGTGAGGGGGAAAATAACAAACTATTGTCAAGTATAAGATACTTGAATCATAAGTAGGTTTGGTGCTCGTGCTCATTACAAAATCAGATCAGCAAACTATGAAATAATGCAGTGTGCTTTTAAAATAGTACAGGGGCATGACCTTGGCCACTGGTCACTGCTTGTGTTTCTGTGTGAAGATGCTTGCAGTGGGAAGAAGCAGACAGTACAACATGCTGTGCTGTGTTGCTAGGTCTGCCTCTGACTGCCATGAGATCAGTGGGAAGCAGCCCCAGTTCCCACTTTTGCTATCAAATAACACCATAATGGAATAAGTAAGTTAAGCTGCCAGCCACATAGCAACCTAGATAGCCCAGTTTAGCCTGAGCTTGTCAGAGCTCAGTTTAGACTGAGCTTTTCAGACCATCTGAGACAGATCAGGCAGTTGGCCCCATATCTCAACCCCTGGGACCTAGCTGGATTATTGTAACACTCTCTATGTGGGACTGCCCTTGACTCTGCTCCAGAAATTGCAGCTAGTGCAGAACGCGGCAGCACGGGGGTTGACGGTGACACCTGTGTGGGCTCACATCCACTCAGTGCTGTGTGAACTGCACTGGCTGCCTACTGAATTCCAGATCTGTTTCAAGGTGCTGGTGCTTACCTTTAAAGCCCTATACAGACAGAGGCCAGCATACCCTCGAAACCATCTCCCCATATGAGCCCCGTAGGACATTGAGGTCCATGAACCAACATCTCCTGGCAGTCCCTGGCCCCAGGTATGTCCGTCTAGCCTCAACCAGGGCCAGGGCTTTTTGGGCCCGGCCCCTGCCTGGTGGAATGAGCTCCCATATGAGATCAGGGCACTGTGGGATTTATTACCATTCTGCAGGGCCTGCAAGACGGAGCTCTTCTGCTGGGCTTTTGGTTGAGGCATGGGGCGGACCTCCCTTTTCCCTGGCCAACCCCTCACCACTGGCCTGGTTCAAATTTGACCGTGGCACCACTGTTATACTCAAATATGACTGACACCTGAATAGGGTATTTTACATGGTAGTTGTGATTTTATGATCTGTGATTGTATGTGATTTTATGTTGTTTTAATTTGTCTAACTTGATGTAAACCACCCTGAGCCCAC